ATGTTTTAATTTTTAGGCTAAGTAAGTGAAGGTGATATAAGTGACTGAAATGGTTTAGAGGAGGTGAACAGTCTGAATGGCAGCTTCGTGATGCCTGTGCTCTGTCTTCATCCGTATAGTTGAGAAATGCCTTTGTGTTGTCCTGTCGTTACCGTGAAGACAAGACCATGAGGAGAAACAGAAGTTCTTTTCCATTTTGTTTGAGACGAATTTCAGCACTGTTAGCGTACTGTTTGCGCTTTGCGTGTCCATCTTAACTTCAGAAGCAAAATAGAAAAAGTGATTTAGAAAGATTAACAGGCTGATAGGACCTTGAAACTGGCCAAAATGAGCTAGGTTGTATGGCTCTCTTAGGAATAATTCATTTTTTGCTGGGCATAACAAGCTGTACAATTTCTGATCTGCACTTTTTAAACTCAGTGCAGCTGTTACGTCTGAAATTGTATCCCGATATTAATCGTTGAAAGCTATAAAAGGTTAGTCTTGCCTATAGAACAACCTTTACAATTCTCTCACAAGTTTCACCCAGCAGGGTTGACTTTCAATCACAATTTCAACCTCCATAATCAGCTTGGGATATTTAAGAAAAAAAGGGAGGTACCTCCTATGCCATAAAAGGCTTTTGCTGTTGGTGTTTGGAAAGAGGCGGTGCTTGTGGAGGCGTTCCTCCAGCGCTTCTGGAAGCGTCGAAGGTACGGCAGTTGACGTTGGAGGTGTAATGGACTAACAGTTGTCGAGGAATCTCAGCAAACAAACCGTCGTTGAGGAAGGTGTTGAGTTTTAAGATTCTCACGCGGAAGCTTTGATACTGAAAGTTCATGAAGGGGAGGAAGAAAAAGTTTTTCCAGAACTTCTAGTGGTTGTCCTGTCCATCACAGTATGTAAGCATTTACTTCGTTCTCAGGATATGCTGGCCTAAAAAGTTTAGGTTTTACTGCTTGAGTATAACAGGTATGTGGACGTATGGGTGTGCTTGATCTTAGATGGCTGCTTGTTTTCTGCTGTCAAAAATTGAATCCCGTTCACAAACTAGTGTCTGGGATACTTACAAAAAAAAATATCTGAACTGTATGTATATTTGCATACGATTGAATGGCCAAGTAAATTACTTCATTTTTTTCTTAAGGTCTGTATGACTATCCTGATACGACACTTACAGAGCAGGGGGTATATTTCTGATGATGGAGAAAGCTGTAGGATGTCTCTTGTATTGCCTTCTTTTTTACTCTGTGTGCTACAGCAATTATACTTCCTTTTAGTTGTTTACATCTGCTTAGTGACACATGGCCTAGTGTTGCTCACAGGTTCTTGTGCAGTCTGAATCTGCTCAGCCACCTCACAACAGAGTCAATTAAATCTTTGAGATCATAGTCAACGATGTTAGAGCACAGTGAAATACTCTGTAAAGAAGCTAAAATGTAATTTCTGCCTGGGAATAAAATTAGTTTTGACAAGTTCTAACAATTTAGGTCAGATTCTTTTCTTTATGTTAGAAATTCAGCTACCTTCTGAGTTTTCTCATATTAATTTAATGCAAAAAAAAAAAAAAAACACCTCTGAGGTCCCT